CTTGGCACGGCAGTACGGGATATGGGGCAAAGCCAGATTCGGGCTTCAGGTGCTTTAGGTTCGAGATGCGTGGCGTACATGGCTGAGATCTGTGCTCTTGCAAGTAAACATAAAGCATGGTGTCCAGAATTCTTGATCGGGCTCATTCCCTGATTTTCCCTGATTTTCAGGAGCTCATTCCCTGATCAGAACCCGAAGTTTTCTCCCACTTCCTCGAGATTTTCTGGGGGAAAAGAATATATATCTCCAGAGTTCCGTGTATGAATAGCGATTTCAATTCATCTCTCAGCCATTTCTTTGGCGCACATTCAAAATTTTAATTCCGATAGCGTTCCTGATGTTTACATTATCTGGTCAATGGAAGCTCCTCCATTCTTTTGATGATATGAAGCTTCAAATGTGTCATTCAAGAAGTCAATAATAGCGCTCGGTCAGATTAGACCGCCTTGTAAAACGAAATGACCCATAAGCGGTAGAATAATAGATTCCCGGATTCTGGAACAGATCCCCTGATTTTTCTCTGTAAATTTTCATTCCCTGAAGAATCCCGATTTCTCCCGTTCTAGACACCATTACTTAAAGCCCGGCTGTATGATTTTCTTCGCTTTCTAGAGTCAGCTGTATGATTTTCTTCGCTTTCTAGAGTCAGCTATATGATTTTCTAGCTCTTTCTACATCCGGCTGTAAAAATTCCTATGGCATCTTGGAACGTATAGCTACTATCGCCAATTTTTACCCGGAATAAAGCATTCTGATACAAGTTTCCAAGTCAAATTTTACATGGAACTTGATTTGGATGCCAAAAATTGCTTAAATTAACTCCTAAGTAAGATATTACCGGTATCAGTTCGCAATAGTTACGGGAAATTTGAATTTTCCACTCACAAGAAAAACAATTTTTTACGTGTGTCAAATCGCGCACTACTGTTCTCTCTACTCTCATCCGTCTCTTAACAATATTTTCTTAATATGTTAAAAGTGAGGAAGTTGGCTCAAGTACTCCATTCACCTTATGGTCCTATATTTATTTCTGCGGTGAAGTCTGAATCGAATTGAACCAGATTCTGATCCTGATAAATTTAAAGGAACAGAAAGAAGCTGGGATTAGCTTTGTGATGTCGGTCTACTGCTAGCACACGTATTCGATTTCATTCACCCATAATTAGAAATCTGAGAGAAAACGAGAAATAAGAAGGCCAAATTAGGACCGATTCTGAGAGGAGCTGAGGGTCATCACTCATCACTGTTTGACCTTGCTCGTTCATGACAACGGAGCGGGCCGTCGTCGTCCCGCAGAGAGGGGCACAAAATGCGCACGCCCGCGTAGGGTGCCCGCTGTAGGGGCGGAAAAAAAACCCACAAAAATATTACCATAGCAATTTGAATAGTCGTGGTGGCTAGGACACCACTCCAAAAAAAAAAAAAAAAAAACTACTTACTACTCTCTATCTCTCTCTCTTTAGGTCATGGCATTGAATATGCAATGCATTCCTTGAAATCCATTTACTCTTCACGTGAACATACGCCGTGCAACCAAAGCAATTGACGATCTACATCCATTCGCAACTTTTTTCGATCAAGGAGATGTAAAAATGTTCGCATTTTTTTCGGACGAAGAAAAATTATACGAGTTCGGCGGGGCTTCAAAAACTACAATGCGACCGACGTCATCACCGTTTTTCAAACACAACAAAAATGCAACCACCAAGAGATCAAGCGTGCCTGGAGCCTTGCACTGAAAATTTACGTCGAGTAAGATCGACAGGTGTCTCAGATGGATGTTTCTTGCAATAGAACTTCCTTAGAGCAACCACAAGATCATTTCTTCCAAAATACTTCTCATTTGCCTAAAAATAATTAAGAATCTTCCAAAGAAAATGTAAGAAGGTAGAGCCGGACATACTTTACGATACTTAATCTTGGGGTAAAATTGGTTCAGATGTCTTTCTGGGTGAACTCGGATGCCAATACCAATGACGAAATTGTCCGCAAACGCGGGAAATTAAAAAAAAAACGCATACCTAATACAAACTACGAGCATTGAGGATCTTGGAGGACAAGGCGCAAGAATGCAATTTTTGAAGAAATTTGACAAACTAATGATATCAACTAAAACGAGTCTTAATAAGTATTCCGAGGAAAATTCACTGCTAAATCCATTTTTAAGCATCAAAAAGTGAGATTGAGCTTTCTTTCCGCCGTAAGCCTGTAATTTTGACATTTTTAACACATTTCTCGAAATAGCAAAATCTGCACTTACGGGCGTTGTCTTCCGAGCCCCTTAACGATCGTGGATTGAGGAGTGAATTTCCGATTTTTTAATGTGCTCATCGTGATGCTCGTACAATGTTCCCGATGGAAAGTTTCTTCATTGATATGTGCTACCGTGCTAAGGAAAAACACCGTATGAACCTTCAGGCATTGCAAAATTTCCATCCATAAAACACGAATTTCCTGGCAAAATAAACATTTTTCTTCCAATTTCGATAATGTTGTTTGCAATTTCACCTAAAGTTCCCGAAAATTGGAAGGAAAGATATTCATACCTTTCCTAAATATAAACATTTTATCGAAGGAAATTTGGCAACTGTTGCAGGTTTATACGGCCTCCTTCCTTAGCACGGCAGTGTGCCTATTTGTTGTGTGTGAACTGACCCATATCCCGAAACTTCAAAACTGGCGACACCGCAAAACTTTAATGATCAACAATTGTTGTAAGCACACAGAGGCATTTCTCCTCGAATTCCGCATTATTCTGATGGCGCCTTGGCGGATTTACTTCAGCAACCCGCAATACCTCCCTGCATCACCACTCCGTGGCGGGAGGCAGGCGCACTCGTAAAATGAGCACTGTGCAGGATTTTATGAGTGGATTTTCCGATTTTAACACGATCCCCGTATTATGACGCCCGTAATACTCCCGACAGGGGGCTCATAAAGACGATGATCCTCGATGTCCTTCGCGGTTTGATGGACACGAGCCGTAATTTCGCGAGCTCCTTTCTTCGACCGAGTGACCTAATTTGTAGGAGCTTAACTTGAGTTAATAGAGACGCATTAAACAAAATTTCGTCGCCCTTAAGCTTAAAAGTTGGGGAGCAATAAACTCGTATTTCACTTCCTCCAACTGCCGAATGATGCATTTATTCGGACGTTTTAAGTATTTCGTCCTGAAAGTTGTTCAGCAGAAACGGCAGATGACACCAAGGATTGCCGTACGGTGCACTATACCAGTTTCGCAAAATTAGGAGGTCTTGGAGCTTATAGTATAGATGATATTGAATTAATTCTTCTTGTCTCCCTGATTAGCTTTTGTTTTTATAAAATTATATCTAATTAGTCCATGATGAGATCGTTACAGAAAATCCCGTTATTAACAAAGTGATGACCTTTAAAAAGGGGCTATCTATAAAATCTATTGAAATATTTCCATATATAGTCGTATCCGTGATGTTCCTTACGTCGTATCTAACAGAAATTCAATAGTGTCTAGCATTTTGCAGGGAATTAAACTTGGTTCCAATTGAGCTTGACTGGCTGAGGATCTCAAAAAAAGAGTGAAACTGGTATCATTCTCTCAGTAGAACCACAGCAAAGCATCTCCAATGCAGCTGCCTCGGCTATACGCTCAACCCTCTTTGTCTTGCACCGAAACTCAATAAAGTTAATTCTACCTCAATCTACTTCTTCTTTTTGGTTTTTTTGGTTTCAATCTCCCCTCAGGATAGTGTGGGCCTAGCACAATTCTATCAACCTGTTACTCATTGTATTTGGGCCATACTGAAGTGCTTTTGTCCCTATGCACATACTTGCTAGCATCAGTTCCATAACATTGTATCATTCATCCAGTTGGACCAATTTAAGCCTGTTATCTATTTTACACCTACCTACAAAATATTATGGAGACCATGGTAAGAACTTCTAAACAGATGGCGATCTACATGGACCAATATAATATTCATAGAATAGCATCACTTTTATGGCTATGATAGTTTTTACCGCACTTGAAATTTACAAAAAAAATTAGGCAGCTCTATAGGTCTGCCATCAAAAGCATGAATGTTGTGGTTTCATTTCAGATTTTCCATTTTTCCTGTAGACAAGATATCACTGATATTAAATACAAGATGATCTGATTTCTTTTTTGCCTCAGTTTTTTCAGTTTGAGTTCCCTATTGTAAGAAATTGTTGGGTATTTTGAAAAAGTATAAGATAATTATCCACCAATTTGCTTGTACCAGGACATTTTGTCGGAGGAAACTTAAAAAATCTGAGAAGGTATTACAGCGCCCTTGTTTCAGCTGGGATAAGTGCCCAGTATTATGCATTCAATCAACTTTAATAACGGTCAATTCAATGCTTCACGCAAGCGATTACCATAGGCCAAAGAGCGAAACAGATATTAAATCAAATTACTAGGCGAATGGAAAGGGAAAAAAAATAGTTAAATTTGATTTAGTACTTAGATGTTCCGGTGAACAATTTGGAACTTAGCAAAATGGAAAGATCCTTTATCAAATATTTGAAAATTTGACCAAAAAGAAAATATCCATTACAGAACTAGTCACATAAAGTGTTTTGGAAAAATGAAGCGTGTTTGACGCAAATGATATAGAGAATCAGAAACAATGAACATCTGTAAGAACGTCTTTGTGGTGCTTCTGCAGACACGGTAGAAAACATGCTGTACAATTACTGTACGAATCTATTTTGCAGAAGTGATGAAGGCAAACTTCATTCTGATGTCCTTCACAGAATAGGTAATTGATAACAACACTGTGGCATAAACAAGCAGCTAGGAATAATCCTTACACCTTCAAATTTTAGAACTATTAGTCAATCTGGTCAAATTCCCATTTACCTAGTTTAATTTTGTTTTTCCTCAGCAGGACGCAGAGGACAAGAATGAAAGTATTGGAAAAAATGTTTTGTCATCCGGTAAAAGATGTTTCCCTTTTTCTGGTGAGTTTGTGAAAGGAAGGCCTGAATAAGTCACATACCTGCTTGAGACATCTTCAATACTGACTGCTCGAGGTGTTGCTGGGGCATGCAGGGCTGAATTCGAGGTATGATGAGACTGGTGTTCTCTTCGAATGTCATTGGATGATTCATGAACAGCTAAAACAAAAGAGAAAGAGCTTGGTGATAAAGATTGTCCCTAGAATGTGAACTGGGATTGAGCAAATAATTTACTTTTCAAATGATAGCGTCATTTTATGTTGCGAATGCTGAAACATCTGCATTATTACATCAGTGATCTAACTTCATAGGAAGCCGTACGCTAAATGTTTCTGAGAATCATGCTTTGATATCTGAAAATGAAGGATGCAGTGCTAAACAAGGTGCCTAGAGAATTTGTGCATCCTTCTTAGTAAAAGCCCCCTTTTCACTGTCACAGATCTTTACGGCGTCTACAAATTGTCGATGGCTCATAAAAATTATGCTTCCTGGTCAAATGACAGCTTAAATTGTGCGATGAAGTTTGACTACTGCCTAAAATTATAGATAGCCTGCTTTTATTTAATTTTAAAGGGTAATCACACCAAAATTAAAGATAGAATTTTATGAAGGATTCAAGAATTGAAGAAGGAGTATTTAACAGATATAAGTGAAGTTGCGGAAGTTCCCTTTAAAAATAAAAAAGGCTTAAAAATTTGGGACAAATCTGTCAAAAACTCATTCCACTTACAAATGATGTTTTTTCAGTTTAGAGCTGGGTCTGCAGGTAGAAGATAAATCAACAACAACAACAGTGACACAACGAACGGAACGGTAAACAGTAAACAACGTCGGTGAGGGGCACTCGGTAAATTTTTATTCAATTTTTCAAAGGTCAGCATAACACATTAGAGCTTTTTTTCCCATTTCATTTAGACCCAGAGCCAAAAATTAAAAGATCTGAATGAGGAGCTGGAATACTCCTGTTTGAACATACGCTAATTTCCAACATACCATTGTGTGGAAGAGGAATTTTGAGTCCTCTTTATAAAATGTTTGTCACTTAAATTTAGTTTGATCAGATACGCCAGGCATGGATTGGTGAACCTACTGCATCTCTGTTCAAATTAGTTAATTGTACTTCAGTAACTCCACAAAATTTCCGTCTTGACTAGCACAGCTCAGCCAGATTTTTTTTCTTCATATGATAGGCACCAACCCCTCTTTTCATCGATTTATTCTACCATCCTCCCTGATCCAGCCTTTTCACTCTTCACCCCTGCTCTCGTAATTGAACATGTATTATTTTAATCAAAAATAATCTAAAATTTTGATAAACATAATTAAAAATAGAGTGGGCCACCAGACAAGGTCTGAACTTCACAAAATTAACTTATTTTCTTTTCAAAATCTTACAAAGAATGAAAATTTACACACAAGAAAGTTTGGAAATAAACTCCTGGGAAAAATATCAACAAATATTTTAATCACAGATCAAATGGAGGTTCGATTATAAAAATGATTTCATTTGTATTTTTGCCATTTACCCAATGTACTTGAAACCTTCAGATCTTGTTCAAGAGTTGATTTCCAGACTTCCCGTTGTGAGATTCTTAATCTTCGTGTAATTTTGAGGCAAAAACATGTGTGGTGCTATGACTAATACCATGTTTAGAGGTCCCTTACAACCTTTGCACACACAAAGCTAGCTTGTTGAACCTGAAGTGCAAAGGTTGAAAAAGCTTGAACATAAAAGTCATGACTGAATCTTACATGCTTCTGGTGTGATCACTGGTGGAGGAATTCCATCACTTGCGTCATGATGATGTAGCATGGGGGAAACTGGTCTCGTGAGAGGACTCCTTCCAATGACTAAAACTACATGCTCTCTTGTTGCTTTTAAAGCTGCCACCGCTTCTTCATGCATCACATTTTCTAAATTTTTTTCATAATCCTGCGAACAAATTTGAAGGAAAACCAATTATGGATGATTATTGATAGAAAAGTACATACTGCACTGGCAACTTGGACTAATCAAAAGGAAAATGAAAAAATTGAGGCGCCAAGTCCCTAGGATCAAAACCTGCAATCTCCATTGCAGTGTCTAAAAATTTGGCTATCATATTCATTTATTATAAAGAGTGCAGGTCAATTTTTATTGGCATATCTTTTCAAAAATTTTCTACATGTTAGTGAGAAAATTAGACGGGTAGGCCTCACAGAGCGCCCTAAGGCGCCGTAAAAGTGGCTGATACATACATAGTGAGAAAATTATGACTGTAGTTATACACACAGTTATATGGATTACTATTTTAAAAAAGTAAAACAACTGCCAAATTAGACGTCGAAATGGAGATTGCAGGTTTCGATACTAGACGCCTCAATTCCTCTGATGTGGAAATTGTATTGAAAAAATTTGAATGACAGAGAAAGCATCTAGAGAGATGATCAATTTACAAGAATAATAGCGGCAGACGATTTGTGCATAGGACAGATTTGCTCTTTACTTTTGGAGGATTTTTGCTTAATATTTATTCTCCTTTACTTACCTGTTTGCCTACAGTATTTGGGCATATTATTGAAAAAAGAAAAATTAATTTTTTTAATTTCATTTTCGATTAAAGTATTCATTGGCAATTAATCACTGCGACATACTTAAATGTGAAATTTTGTGAACATTCAATAGCCTTTGCAACTTAAATCATGATTCATTTTTGCCCTTCATCTCTTGGAAAAATTAACAACAAAGGAAGAATCTTTTCAGTACAATGAGAATAAGGTACATCCTTTTAAAGGTTCTGTATGAAAGTATAAACTTTGTGAAAACTTACATTATGTCTAACAGCTACTAATTTGTCTCCCACTTGTAAACGCCCATCGACTTGAGCAGCACCACCTTCCATTATTTTTGTGATATAAATACCATTGTCACCAGGAATATGTTGATTGCCAATTCCACCAGCTATACTGAATCCTAACCCTTTTGCTCCTTTGATTAATTCTATTTCTTGAATGCCTGAATCAGATACAGCTCCTCGTTTTCTTCTCACACACTGAAACAAAACAAGGCATTTTAACAATTGTAATAAAAAAGAGAGAGAGGAAATTTCACTTTATCATAAAAACAGAATTGAGAGGATTTTAAAACAATGTGAAACAGCATTTAGCGAGAGAGAACTGACAATGAGTGGCATTTTCAAAAGTATTAAATTAAGAATGATTGTGGGATCATCTAAAAATGAAATTTTTTGAGCAGTATACTAAACAACTAACTATCAGATACTTAAATTATGCACAAAATATTTGGTGTGCGAAACAATTGAAGTATGTTTTCTATATAGAGTCTTGAGGCAGGATATAACTTCAAAACTTCGTCTCCCTCTCAAGTTCATGCCACTCAGTTCTTTTTGCTAGATGTTCACAATATTGAAAGCTGTTCGGGTATGTAGTTGCACTTTGCACTGAATTAACCTGAAAAGTAAAAATAGCAAAATTATATTGCAAAAGAAATGAATGATTCTACCCAAAAATTCAGAGGGTAAAACATATTTTGCTGCTATAATACATGTGTTTGAATGGGAAATGCTGCCGGACGACGTATTAAAGCGGCAAATTTCCTGACTTTAAAAACTATTGTGCTACATTTTCCCATTTTTAAAAAAATATGAAATATATGTGCTGTGAACTCAATTCATTAAGCACTTTCAGATGAGCCAATACAAAAATTTGCCAGCAAATTCTCCATTGCTGGGATCTTAAGGGGAAAAGGGTTCGTCAAGCGTTGGGCCCGGGGTTGCGTTATGAACAGGGTGTCTAGTTTTATTTCATTTTGAGAAATCCTGATTTTTCCTGATTTTTGACGGCTAAATCCTGATTTCATAATTTTTTCCGAATCCTGATCAAATCCTAATTTTTTGCGGAGAAAAATTAAAATTTCTGCATAAGCGTATGCGAAAGCATAAGAAAATCCGATCGGACAGCCGACTTTTCTCAAATCCTGATTTTACGACTGATTTTTCCTCAAATCCTGATGAAATCGGGAAAATCCTGATGCAAGACACCCTGATGAAGCAGTGCAAGGGAGAAGGGGGGGGGGGCAAAAACGCGGAAAAAGTGCGTTACGTGATTGATGAGGGCTCCTTTACTATGCGAGTACTCACCATTTTGACAGTGGTTCCTGCTCGTTTGAGGGCATCCACGGCGGCGGCATGAGGTACGTTGATGAGATTGCAGTCGTTGACTTTGACGATGGCGTCGTTGACCTGGAGGCGGCCGTCGGCGGCGGCTGCTCCGCCGGGGATGAGCTTCGTCACGAAGATGGAGGCATCGTCGCCCATGTGCGGGTTGTCCGTGCCCCCGGCGATGCTGAACCCCAGCCCGGCGCTGCCCCTCTCCAGGGTGATCGTCTCGTACACCCATTCGCCATCCCCGTTGATCTGCAACACCAAATCACCCACTCATCACCCACCAGACAAATCCTCCTTCCCCCCACCAAAGAACCTAACTCTATTTCAATCTTACCAAAGAGCTCCGTGCAAACACGGCTTTTTCCGCCCCCTCCCCTGGAATTTCTTCAAACTTCGTCTATTGATTACTCATACTTGAGCGCTTCTTTTCCGAAATTTTCAGACCCCTAAAAAATTTTG